ATTGTCAACACGAATTTATTTCTTGTGCTAGCTGCTTGTTGTTCCCAGAAAGCGGAAATGTCCGAGGGACAGGTGGCTGAGGAATGGGACTGGATTTTGGGCGGGAAAAGTTGCGCGGCATTGTGATTTTGTCAGGCATATGTGGGTGGTGGCTGTGTGCAAATATCAGTAACAGTTTGTCTGTATGCCACTATGGTCTGGTATCCTTTTTCCCTCCTTTGCCCCCTTTGGCTTTGCGGTTTGCAGCTCTGTTTGCTGCTTTTGCTGTTGGCCGATTGTTGCTACCATTGTTGTTGTTATTCAAGCAAATTTATTTGCCTGCTGCCAGTGCCACTGCCACTGCTGCTATTTGCTTTTCATTTCCGGCCACGTCGACAAATCACAAAACAACCCGAAAAAGGATATTATCTGCAGCACAACGGTTCGCCTCAGGCTTCCCCTATTTGTCTAAATAATTTGCAAAGCATTTTTCGTTTCATCGCTCCATCGCCAGCCGATTGTATGCGAGAAGATAGTCCCCGCTCTCTTAATGGCCATCTAAGTGGTCCGCTTTTCCCCGCATATTTCTGTGACCTTTCATCTTGATCTTGGCCGTTTGGGTCATTTCACTTGGGGCCGTACCCAAAATGGATAGCCGTTGGCCACTCAATTTTCCACTCACGTGTGCAAATAGAAAACCAGAACTGGAGGCTCACACATGGAAAAAATTATGTGCAGCAGATATAATAAATATCAATGAGCATAAGCCACTATATTCAGTAATTCTTTAAGTAAAAGTCATATTTTATACTTGATTTAATTATTTTTATTAAGCACAAATATTAATTTTCTATCAAAACTGAAAACTACAAGTACAAGTCACCCATAAAATCTGTCATGTTTTTGATTATTCTCTCAGTGCATTTCACTTCTTGTCACATTCACAATGCTAATTGCCTCACCAAATGTTTGCGTCTCCGAAATTTCCACTTGTCATCCCAATGATGATGGCTCACTTAGTTCACGAGCGATTTGAAAGCGAGTTAAAGCCGTGACGCCTACACCTGTTAGTTAGTCGTTGAGAGCACGATGTGGACTACGGGTCTGCTCTTGGCTTTGAGTCTGCTCAGCCTGCCCTCATGGGGACTCGGCTCGGACCACCGAAATCTCACGGAGTTTATGAGACATCGCCAGAAGCGCTGGCTGATCTATCAAAACAGTGGATCAATGAAATTCAGCATTGGCCCATCTTTGCCGATTCCGCTGGAGGACAAGGTGACCTTTCGCTCATGTGTGCTTTCGTTCACTCTCCAGGGTGGAACATATAGCCTGCCCACATCTCCGATTTGGCCTTGGGACAAGTGGGAGGGCACCTTTGCCCGATCCCTAGCGCAGATGAAAAGGAATATCGAGATACATACGGCCAATGGAGGAGTCCGATATGCAGACGATGCCAGACTCCTGGTTTACACAGCTCTGGAGGAGTATATGGGCAGGAGAAACAACAATCTGGCCATGGGCAGGCAATGCCTGCTGCGATCCATCTGCGAGAATGCCCAAATCCACCATCACATAGGCGTGTTCTCAGAAATTATGGACATCGTACTCAGGTGAAATTTATTTACTAAACACCTGAAGTTAACCCCTGATAATCTAACAATTATCTTACCTACTTTAGCCCCGGCAAGGCCGAACTGGATAACTCCTATCACGAGGCCTACGCCGCCGGAAAAGCTGGAGCCAATTGCCTGCATCTCTACAGGACCTGTCCACGGGGCCTCAACTTCCTTGACGGACTGCTGATTGTGGAGGATGATTGATTTACTGCTGCTGTTGCTGCGGATGGCCGTTGGAGTACTGAGCGAAGGAAAATGGGGATCCGCAATAAAGTTTTCAGCCAAATCAAAGTGCATGTCTAATGGGTCTTGTCCTGATGTCGGAATCCGCTTGTTCTTGCTGCATAATTTGGGGCGGAAATGCACGGAAGCATGTCTGAGGGGCAGGAAACTGTGTTGACTCGGCTCGAGGATGAGCATGTGTGCATATCGATGCAGGCTTGGCTCAGGCACATGTAGGGTTTATGCGGGAATTGAATTTGGGAAGTACTTTCAATACTATATCGAGGATTATTATATGAAACAAGGATTTATACATGAGTTTAATGCGCATTTTAGGGTTTTTGTAAGGAAATAATATATGTATAAAAGGAATTACATAAAAATACATTTCATTTGTTTGAAAATTCTTAAAACTATATATTATAATAAACTATACTTTCAGTTATTGGTAATTTATTAACATAATTAAAACAACATAATAAACATGCCTTGCAAGGCAACATGTCGTATACTTGATTATAGTATGCCGTTCTCAGCTGAATTTCCAAACCCATTACTGGCTTATAATTTTGTAATTTATATGGCATATATTATTATAATTTATATGGCATAATTCCTTGATTTCGATATTTGACACGTGTAAACTTACCAGCCGCAGACATTAGTTACCTATTCCTCTGCGCCATCACAAGTTCAAACACCGCAAAGTTGTGCAGGCCGCCGCCACCCCCTTAACCCCCTCGCTAGCTGCACTTTGCATGGCCCCTCCCTCGCATGCTTCAAGCCTCACCCTGAAGTTCCCCCCAGCCGCCGCTTGACGCTCCTCTTTCGTTGTTCGCGTTGTCATAATCGCATTTGAATTAGCTTTGCACACAAGAAGCAGCTGAGGCGAAAGATTCTGTCTTCACAGGGTCACCAAAAGCTGAGTCTTTGGATATATAAAATTCTAAGTTATAAAAGAAAACTTAGGAACAAAAAACAGCAGAAATTCAGAATTTTTTGAGATTTTCAAGGCATTTTTCATTTCTTCACAATTTCGCTCAACTGCACCCTGTATGGAGACCAAAGACCCATTTGCCTCCACCGACGGCGCGGCGTCTGCAAGCCTAATGTGCCACTTAAGACGCATTTATTGTCTTTCGTTGCTGTTGTTGTTGTTGCTTTGCTGTGGGTGAGGATGTTGCAGCCGGGGCGTGTTGCTGGCGGTTCTGCATTTTCCATTTAATTGACGCCATTGTTGACAAAATGGCGGTCGTGTGCTGGCTTTCGCTGCAGCGCCCTGCTGCTCCTTCAAGCCAAAGTTGCAGCCAGCCACAAGCCATTAATGTTAACGGATTTTTACCCTGGAAGCTGCGGGGCTGCCGGGAATGCACTCGCACACGGTCATGTTTCTGGTTTACCAGAACCGGAATTCCCAGGTGGGGGAGCAGGAAGAAGGCGTGGCAGTGGCAGCATCAGCAGCACAAATCACTTGCAATCAGTGTTAAAAATTCAACGTGAAGCCAAGATGGTTGAGACTGATTGTGATGGGTGTAAAGTTGACGAGTGATTGCTGTTGATCTAACTGAGAACAGCAATAATCAAGGATAATCGGTGAGTTATCTGGATTTATTTGAGACTTTAGAGGGAATCTTCGGGATAATAGAATATGTGGCAGTAATAATTTATAGGTAGTAAAAGCTTTGCCCGCAAAGCTCTATGAAATATTAGTAATCCAATTCAACTGTATAGGCATCCAGGACACTCTCACCCCTGGGACAAGCCGGAAACTGATCAACACAGTTAATGCCCGCTTGTCCAGCTCTTACGGCATCTGTATAGGCCAAATCCAAACGCGTTTTACCAGGTCTGCAGATATATTTATATTTAGAATTTTAATTCTATATAAAAAGTTAATAAACAAAACTTACGTCAGCAGAACGTTGAGTAGTTCCGACATAATTCCCACATGGTGATGAACCTGGGCATTCTCACAGATCCCGCGCAACAAACACTGACGACCTCGACCCACCGATCCACTGACTTGGTCCATGTAATTCTCCAAGGCAGCGTAGACAAACACTCGGGTATCATCCTCGTGTGATTCATCCAAGCTCCTGATCTTCTCCTGAAGAGATCGCTCGTAGATAGTCTCCCATTTGTCCCACGGATAAAGCGGAGCCGATGGCAAGGTAAACGCTCCAAAGTGAAGCACATAGTAGTAGACCATGCTCCGCCAGGTGACAGGATCCTCCAATTGGGTGGCCACCACTGGACCCACCACCAAGCGGATGGTACCGCCATTCCTGTAGATCAATTGATGGCGCTTCTGGCGGGCGTGCAAGAACTCCGTAATATTCTGACCCACCGAAGGGAGCACAGCATCGTAGGCACCTCTAGCCAAGGGCAAGAACCACCCTAGTAGATATATCCAAGCCAACAATTGCATTTCGGAAGCGTCTGACAGTGGCACAACACCTTTCACGAATGAAGACCACTGGAGTTGGGCACCGATCTGCGCTGCGTTTCGATTGAAGTAATTATTGATTCGTCCAATTATCACCCTCAGCCAATTGGGGTTATAAAGACATCCAGAATGTGTGTGCCCCAGCTCTCATCGTTCTGGTTAAGTAATTTTGTAAATAAATACAGTGAGTATTCTGGGAAAGGAAATTAAGCAAAGTAAAACCTTATTACAAAATAACGAAATAAATAATAGAAATTAAAAGGAAACCAATTTAAAAAATAAATAAAAAACTAAATTCTTAAATCCACAAAAAAGGCTTTTAAATTTTGAGCCCACTTGGGGAATCCAGGGTTACCGTATCCTCGATTTTAATAATTACGTTCTGTACTCTTACGTAGTTTGATTACGTCTTGTCAATTTAGATGTGACCAGTTGCCGTGAAGAAGAAAATCCGCTTAATTTTCTAACGAATTCCAGCATTATAAACGAATAGTCTTGTGATCATATTGTTATTGTAAATTAATAATAATAATAATTATACAGAAGTTCCTTCGCTATTTGCTGTTTTGTTGTAGCTGTAAGATGAATGCCGTGATAGCTCTGTGCCACTTCTGCGAGGCGCATGGCCCCTGCGCCATCTTCTGCACCCAGACACTTAGGGACACCAAGCTGGAGGACCTTCCGCTGGACCAGCAACAGAACCAAAAGTCCTGCTCCGCTTGCAACTACTCCATGGGGCGGAATAACAATGCCATCTACAGCAGAGACACGGAGAGCGGGGCGACCTTTGTTAGCACCAAGGTGGCGGTGCTGCCGGAGGTGGCCAGTTTGGTGAAACAGGCGGCTGTGCTGAGCCTGAGCAATGGGACGGATTCCAGCAAGGATGGCGAATTTGTGTTCTTCGGTGACTCCGCCCGCGGCCACATCCTGAGTCACACGTTCCGGTTGAGCGACCTGCAGGCACGTGGTTACTCGCAGCTCTTCTCAATCATTGTCCTGATGAAGGACAAGTACTTCCTGCTAAACATCAAACCCTTTCTGGCCGAGCACCTAAAGAAAGTCTCATCAGAGCTGCAGACGGCGGCCAGGAAAACAAAGGAGGCGGAGGAACTTACATGCTCGGCCAGGCAGAGACGCCTCTCTGGTGCACAGATCCTACTGTCAAGGTCCCTGCTGGAGCTCACTGGCGAAGAGCACATTTTTGCCCAGCTACACTCTCACTTCTCATGGCTTCTGCTGGCCGGATCCCGATTCCTCACCGAGCACGTGACCTTCGGAAACCTGCCCTGGCTACCGCCACAGAGCAGCGGTCGCCCGCCCGCCCAGCGACTCACCTACAACAGCTCCACCCTGCCCATGATCGAAAGCATCGATGATCCGGATCTTGAGGAGTTCTTCTCACTGCGGCATCTCAAGAGCGTGGTGCGTAAGGAGGAGTTCGCCACAGTTTGCTATTGTGCCTTGACAGGAGTCAAGATCGTGGTCCGCGGTGATCCTAGAAAGACCTTCCGTTTCATGGTGTGCCTTAAGAAACTGTTGCCCGAGCCCATGCACAATCTCATGCGTATTGATGCCCAGCACCAGCACTCCATTAGCTCCGAGTACAAAATCATATCTGTGTCCAACGACATAGCCGTTCCCATGGCCAGTGCCTCCGTATATCGAATTGACTTCCTGGACAAGCATGTCAATGGGCATGAGGTGTCCGTCAAGTGGCCGGGAGAATTGCCCAGAAAGTGTAAGCATATCTCCCACCTGAAGATCATGTCGTTTCTATCAACCTTCTTATATTCTTCCTTTAGTGCCAGATCTTATGGTGAAGCTGCTCAAAGCGGTAGAGGAGAAAAACTTTACGGAACTGGTGCTCAATAAACAGACCAAGGTGCTCATCGAAGAATGGAAAAAGTATGAATTTCTCGTTATTCTCCAAGTGCTCCACATCTAATCTTTATCTCACCGACAGCAAAGTGACCTGCCTCAATCATGCCAAGTCCAGCAGCGTCCAGGGCAAACTGAAGAAGGTGCTGGGCGTGCAGCCCCACGATCAGCCGGTGATCAACTACTGGAGCACGCACCTGCACTAGCCGCGGGGGAGACGCACACACACACATACACTTTTGTATATAGCTCAAGAACATTCTTTTCACCTTTTGGAATAAAACCACTTTATTGCCGCGGCGAGTACACGACGGCGAGACAAATCAATATCTTAACCAAAAGGGTGCCAAATCCAGTCCAGCCAGCAAGGTGTTTACTTCTTGTAGCCGCAGCTGGAACGACGACCACGAGCGCGCTCGAACTTGCGTCCCTTGGAGCGGACATAGGGGCGGGTGTGCGAGTGGGGCACACCGGGCGCCTTGCCGAAGTGCTTGCAGGCAGTGCGGGCAGTACGCTTGCCCTGCAGCAGCAGGGTGTTCTTGCCGGTGGGCGAGCGCAGAGCGAGCTGATCGAAGGTCAGCACCTCGCCGCCAGCCTTCAGGATGCGCTCCCGAGCGGTCTGGGTGACGTGCAGGGCGCACACGGTGACCTTGGGGACAACCAGCAGACGGGCATCATCGGTGACGGTACCAACAACCACAATGGTGGACTCAGGCTGGTTGGCAGCCTTGAAGAAGCGAGCAATACGCTGCAGCGATAGCGGCGGGCGGTTGATCTTGCTCATGAACAAACGCTTCAGAATGATGCGGTTGAACTTCTTGTTGGTGCGGCGCTGCAGGAAGCGGTACAGCTGCAAAAGACAACGAGAAAAACACATTAGTGCCACGTCCCATTGGGTTTGTCCACCATCTTGGCCTTACCTTGACGAGCAGACGCAGGTAAACATCCTGGGATTTGGGCTCGGTTCTGCGAACCTTGCGATCGTACTTGTGGTTGATATCAATACCCTGCAAAGGAAATACGATTAGCACTAGGCGTGTTGTGGCGGCGGCAACGCATTTTACGATTAACTCTGAATAATTTGCAGGCACTTGCGAGATGTTTACAAATTATTTTTCAGTTTTCGGTTATATTGCGTTCCTTACCATTTCGGCGACCGGAAAAAGAAAGAGAGGATGAGGTGTGACCGCACGACCAAAACGAAAGACGCAAACGCACAAAAAATGGCCGAAAATACTGGAAGTAGTCTTGGTATTTTTTAGAGCTGGTATTTTTAAGAGTTACTTTATAAATTTTAAATTAAGTTATTATCATTTAAAATATTTTACAGCATGTTAAGCTTATAGTTTTCTTTATGTTTGTTTGTTTAAAATTTGTCCAAATCATAAAATGTATAATTTGATGTAATCTTAATGTGTGGGGAATGGAACTTTTAGCTTCATTTTTATGCCTTTGCAGGGTATAACTCTAGTCAAATTTTGGCATAACGCAGTCATTTGCGACCCTATAAAATAAAAACATATTCTTGATTAGTGTCATCAGAAAAATCTTGCTAGCCATGTCCAGAGGGCATTTTTTTTGTACATATTTTTTTTTATATTACATATAATATTGACAATTATTTTAGATATTCTAAAATTAATTAATCCTTTCTTGTTAATTTTAATTTAAATTAATTAAATTTATTTAATTAAACTATGAAAATTATATCTTATATATACAGTATTGGCGAGGTTTCAAGAAACTACAGATTGTAACAAAAAATTAATTATATATTTAAGAAAGAAAATTTGAAAACTAATATTTGCACATTTTTAAATTAATTCTTTATCTAAATTTTAAGCCATGTTTTTAGAAATGTGCGACACGTTCATGGAGAATTGTTCAAGCCTATATAGAGGTTTAAAATAATCAGCAGAAAACTCGGTCTAGCCATGGAAATTAGAAAATAAATATTTTTAAATTAATTTTTTAAATAATGAATAGAAACAAAAATTAATTAATTAGTATAATACGATTTTTGGTTTTCCAAAAAGAGCTCTGTTAATTTAATACTACTAATTCCAGTAAGACCGTCAAATATTAGTATAGGCGTCAACTCTGGTCACACTTAAAATACCGATGGCAGCGAATTTACGTAAACCAATTGTGAGTAAAAACTACTAATTTTTAAATAAAATGAAACGACCCTGTATGTTCTAGGTAGCGGGAAGCCTCCAGAGGTTCTTCGCCTCAGCTGCCAAGGCTGCAAAAGCCAAGCCGAAGAAGACCAGTCCCCTGGCTGCTGTCGGCGAATCAATTGCCTCCAGAGGGTATGTTTGTCACACATTTGTACTAAAAACATTAGTTAATATATCCGTGTTTGTAGTTTTCTGCGTCCCCACAAGCCGTACACACCACCGGGCGATGCGGCGGAACGAGTGCGCTCCGTTGCCGCCTCTCTGCAGTTGAAAGGCGACAAGCTGGAAAACCTTTCCGAAAAGTTCAAATTCCTGTCCGCCTGTTTCCAGGAGCTGCAGCACGGGGTGCCCAACTCCCAGGTGCATGAACTGCGCACTTTGTCCGATGTTATCGCATTTTACGAAACTCCCGTGGACACAACGGTTCCACTAGATGCCCTGAAACGCCAAGATCTGCCTGAGAATTTGCACATTCAGTACGAGTACTTACGCTTCAATCCCGAGACGGACACCAAATTCGGCGGCAAGACAGCCTTCCCCAAGAGCTCCACGCTGGTCACGGGCCTAAAGTACCGGGGCAAGTACGAGGGAAACGAGGCCAAGCGCTCCTGGCCGTAGAAGAGCCCATCAGTTAGTTGTTATTGTATTACATTTAATAAATATCGTGTATCTAAAAGTGCTCGGATACAGTTTTCACCAAGTCGGAGTTGTAAATGCTCTCCAACGCCCCCAAGACTCGCTTATCTCCAAGCAGCTCCATCAGTCGTTTGTCCTCCTTCACCGCCTCAAATGTGGGATACATGAGCTCGCAGTTGATCGCTGTCACCGCCGGCTTGTTCATGATGCTCAGGATTTTCTTCTGCAGCTCGATCTCTGGATCGGGAGCCTTGAGCTTTGCCAGGGCATTGGCCTCGCCCACCTCACGCTTAAGCTGCTCCTGCCGCTCTTTTTCCAGATAGCTGATGATCACCTCATACTGCGAGGCTGTCAGGGGATGGCTGTCTGCCAATCTCTCGATGAGCTCTTGCATATCATCGGGATGTCGCCTCTGTCCCTTGTGAATGGTTGTGGTCACCGTTGGTTTTGAAGCATCGCGCTGTTTCTTTAGCCTAAAATCCGTGGCAACCAAGGTAATGGCATCCTCGAGCGGCATATTCCGATGCTCGGCAGGCACCCCATAAAGGATATTCACTGTGATGCTGTTAAGTTCCTCGTGCTGGGGCGTGACCAGAACGGCATAAAGGCAGCCTCGATGTGAGATATTGGCCAGCACCTTGCCCAGCATCACTTCCTGGTTGGGGAAGAGCACATCCACCCGAAGGCCGGCGTTCCTCAGGCGCTCCTCAACGTACTCCGCGTACTTGCTGCAGGAAGAATTGAATGAAAACCTTAGCGAGGCCCATGCTGACCACCACTTACGTGTTTTCCCGATTGACCACTATAATCTCGCAGTCGTTGATCAAAGGCTGACCGGCCGCAGCAGCTTCGGCAGACATAACAATTCCACCCACAATCTGTGCACTCTGCATTTGGTTTTTCTTGGCCATCGCATTAGCCTGCTTCGATTTAATGCTGGCGTTGCGCACAGTGAGCACATTCGACTTAAAGGTTGACTTGTTGAGAGCAGCAGCGGCTTTATTGGCGATTTCTTCCGATTCGAACTGCACGAATCCGTAGTTTTTCTGTACCATTGATCCAAGAACCTTTCCATACGGGTGAGAGATGCTCACCAGCTCCTCACGCGTGCATATGGGCAGGTTTCCCAGAAAGATGCGATTCTTCACCAAGGCTGGGTCCTTTGTTATATTGTATCCCTGTGTTTCGGCCATAATTCAGGTTTTTAGGACACCTGAAAAAGGAAATATTTATAATTTACAATTTTACAATGTGACCAGATCAATGTTGCCACGGAATGACAGACTTGAACACTGCTAGGGCTTTCAGCACTTTTGAAATTAACAATGATAATTAAATCTTAATTTTATTTTTATTAATTTGTATGAAAGAGACTTCAAATAATGAAGGTGTTAACTTTTTTTTTCTTGACTCAGTTCTTATTGTTGAATTTTTCATTTTTAGATACAGTTTAAATTTGTATGAAAGAATAATACATGTAAAATGTAAAGTACAAATTATAAGTTTTGATTAATATTGATTTTTTTAATAACATAATTTTTAATTAATAACATAAAACCCATAAAATTATCTAACTAAATTTATGTGCAGCTGGTAACCCTGATAGCTATTCGATAAAAATTGAGCTATCGAATTTGTTGTTCGTCCTTCAACGGTTGTTTAAAACATGAATTTTAATTTTTGGCCCGTTGCTCCAGCGCATTAAACATAATGGACAGGCTGCTGCCACAGAATCCAAGTCCTGTCAGCACATATTGCTCCGATCTGGAACTCAAGGGGCTTGGGGCCACGCAAATCCTGCGCAGGTCGCAGCGCCTGATCGACAAGGAACACCAGGAACTGACCAAGGCTTTAACCCCACAATGTCGTTCTCCGCAATTGTTTGGAGAATCCGAGGATGTCTACAGCCAGCTACTCTGCCAGCAAGAGGAACCACCGTCAAAAGTGGTCCACTTGAAGGAAACCGATAAAGTTGTGCACCCAACCGGAGCTTCGGACAAGTTGGTGCACCTGAGAGCAGAAGAATCAAATCAAATCTTACACCTTAAATCGTCAAGCAAAATGCACACCTCGGCGAAGATTCTGCACTTGAAGCGGCATGAGGAAGTCCAGGAAACTGCTCCCCAGAAAAATGTCGAAAAGCCTTCGGCACAGATTACGCATTTGAAAAACCAGATGGAGGTTAAGAATACATGCAAGCTACTCCATGAAGCTGTTCCCCAGAAGAATCTGAAAAGAAAGAGGACGACTTACCAGCAGAGTTCACAGCCTGCAGCAAAAAAACGTGTCAGGGCGCCGTTGAATCGCCACGAAGCAGTCAAGACACCGCTCTCCAAGAAGCATCTAAGCTCATCCTCTACATCCTCCCAATCGAAACTGCCACCCAAATACCCAGAGCACTTTGACAAGCAGCTAAAGAATACCAGTTATGTCCCGTTGCAAGTTAATTCGGCACCGTCGCGGGTTCCCCTCCAGGAATTGTGCCCTACTCCTGAACCCACTCCCATTGCAGCCTCACAAGGCGAAACTTGGAACAAGTCTTCGCCAACTGTGGACTCCGAGAGCTCCTTGCCAATCTCCCTGAGTGATTCCATTTGCGAGATCTTCGGTTCCAAGGATGTCAACGACATACTGAATATTAAGTCACCGCGGCGGTACATACTGATTGAGGAGCACCTGCCGGCGGTGGCCACCATGTTGAATGTGGACGTGAATCGCCTGCGTAATGTTCTGGAAATTACGCAGCGTTTGAGCCACGAACAGATCCTGGGATTTCCCATAAAGACGGAGCCATCATCATCACTCGACGTTTTGGATTCAAATTAGCTGATATCCATATAAGCTGGGAGCCTAGTTCTTAGCCATTTTGTAGAATTTTAATGGGATCAAACCATGTCCAAGCTGATCCTGGACCTAGCTTAACATTTGAAATGTATTCTTCATCTTTGTATATTTTTAAGTTGTATTTAATTTTTTTTGTTTTGTTTTTGTTTCTTGTTGTTATTTTGCCTTAGACTTTCAGAGTGCACAATTTCGTTTAAACCTTTTACTTTGTTGTATATTTTAAGTTACTAATGCTAAACGATATCTAGACTTTATTATACTTCATAATTGGTTTGCTTTCCATTCTACGACAATACAGCAGCAATCACTCAATCAATCTGGTTTCTGTTATCTGTTCTCCGTTTATCTTTCTACGCGTTCCTCTTTGTTTAATGTGTTTTTACTCTGTTTTCAACGTATATACAACCGCCTGGATTTGGAGTCGCAGCTCCCCTCCTAGTAGTCGCTGTCGTAGCTGCCGTCCTGCTGCGCCTGCGTCGAGTCGTCCGATCGTTCCGAGGTGGGCTCCAAATCGACATCGAGGGTTGTATTGTTGGCCGGACAACAGCTGGGATGTGCCATGGAGTCGAAGGCATCTTTGATTTGATTGTTGGCACCCTTTGGATCCAGCTCGGTGGCCCAGCTAAAGTGCATCAGCGCCAGATCCATGTTGCCAAGAGTCTTGTGTATCTTTCCAATCAGATAGAAGACCACTGACTCCTTGGGCACCACCTCCTTGAGCTCCTCCAGCTCGCGCAGCGCCTCCTGGTACTTGCCCAGCGAGAAATAGATGGACCCGCGATGGAATCGGGTCAGTGGATTCTTGGGATCCAGCGTCGCGGCCGTATTCAACGTCTGCAGCGACAGATCCTTCTTCTTCATGTAGAACTGCATGGCGCCGATGTGCACCAATATCACCGAGTTCTGCGGATTAATTTTCAGAGCCTTGACGTAATGCTTTTCGGCCTCCTCATACTTCTCCTGCTTCGAGTATATGGTGCCGATGCCAAACCAGGCGTTGTAGTGCCTCGGATCCCTGACTACGGCGGCTCGGAAGTAATCCATTGCCTTGTCGAACTCCTCGGTGAGCACGAGCTCGTGGCCCAGCAGCGTATAGCTGTAGACAAAGTCCGGATCCACTTGCACGGCGCGCTTGAAAAATTTGATGGCTGTCTCGTGCTCCTTTTGCAGTGAGAAGCAATTGCCGGACACACACCAGGTCACCGGGCTGGTCTTGTCCTGGCTTATCAGATCCTGTGCCAGGGCCGAGAGTTCCACTTCCCGCTGCAGATGCCACAGAGATGAAGAGTAGATCTCCATATACTCCAGGCGACGCGGTTCCGTCTGGTGGATCCTTTCAAAGATCTCCACCGCCGCCTCATAGTCGCGCATCTCGTACCTGGCTATTCCAATGAGCGACTGCACCCAGCTGGATTTCAGGTGGTGCTTTGGTATCGTTGTCTCCAGCTGCTTAACGGCCGCCTTGCACTGAAAGTTGGACAGCAGCTGGTAGGCTTCGGCCAAGTTTTGAAGCAGAACCATCAGACCATCCGCCGATTGCTTCTTGAGTCCCAGCAGCTGGTGAGCCATCGTCTGGGCATTGTTTAGGCTGTTGTTCAGCAGTACTTTGGCCTCCTCGGCGGCACTGCGTCCGCCGCTGTTGTTTAGTGCGCCCGAGGAAGTGATGGTCTCCACCTTCTCCTTACGCTTTTCGGACAGGTGATGGGACTTCTCCTCAATCAGTTCATTATTTAGGCAGATCTTGGTCATCCGTGATTTGGATTTTCGCGGCGGTGAGCGTGGCTGCACGAACTTATTGGCTATGTTGGGCGACTTATTGTTCTCCTTGACCGAGTAGGCAGAGTTGCTGAACAGCCGCGAGCTGCGACGCACTGCAGCGTTGGGATTGGGCGGCACATTCAGATTCCCATTGTTGCCCACATTATTGTTGTTGGGCGTGCGCGGGGTTATGTTCCCGGCCTGCGTGAAGACGGCGGGCTTGTTAAGGCTGCCCTCCTTGCGGTTTATCAAGCTGCCGACATGCGTCTTCAGCTTTTTACCCATCATCTTGGGCTCCTGATTGACCTCGGCCAGCATCTGGGGCATCGGTGAATAGCTGACGTTCATCACAGGAGTATGGAGGCCGATAAGAGAGCCATCTCCTGGGGGGCAGGGACTAGTCAGTGGCATAACGCCGAAACTAGGAGTGGGCGGTGTAATGGCCGATAGATATTTGAACTGTCTCCGGAAGGGAGTGCCGCCGGTCATGTCGTACAGTTGCTGGTGCTGCGCCACTGGGTCCTGGGTATAGCCCATGGGCGTATCCTCCAGCATCGCCAGCATGCTGGAGTTCTGCACAACGCTACCGCCACGCAGCATGCTGATGGAGCTGTTGAGATTGTTATTATTGTTGTTGTTGTTATTGATGGGCGTAACCAGGTTGCTGTTGCTATTGTGGTTCTGATTCTGGTTGAGTAGCTGCTGGACCGGCTGTTGGTTCTGGTTCTGCTGCTGATCCCCCGGCGTGGTTAGGATGTAGTTGGAGATATTGCTTAGGTTCGTGATGAGTGACTGGTGCACCTGCTGCTGGGGATTCTGCTGCTCGGCGCCGAACATCACCATTGAGTTGGCATTGGCGCTGCTGCCCTGGCAGGTGTTAAACACGTCCGTGCTCTGGATTTGGAATATAGACGCCGCATCCGTGTCCTGGCCCAGCAGGCACAGATCAGCGAAGGCATGCCACATGAAGGGATTCAGCTTAAGCGCCCGCCGTAGCGCACTGACCGCCAGCTTGTTGCGCTCGGTCAGGACGCAGATCTGCGCCATCAGTTGGTACGCAAAGCACGCCAAGTCTCCAAAGTCCCGCTGCAGCTCGTCACAGTTCTTGGCATCCCCGAATCCCGACGAAATCAGCGCACTCTCAGCTTCAGAATACTTTTTCAGCTCGAAGGCACACTTGGCCTGCAGAAATCGGCACTGCGGCGAGGTGCGAGGCTTCTCCTTTAGCAGCCAGTAGGCCTGGTGCACCTTGTTGGAGCGGTAGTAGCTGGTGGCCAGCAGGAATACAGTCTCGTCGCTCTCCACTGCAAAAATAAACCCAAGGAGACAGTCAGTTATGTATTCGCCAAGCCATGAGACCTTGACCCTTTACCTTCCGAGTACAGGCGCTCCGCCAGAAAAACAGCATCCTTGAGGTCGTAGTAGTTCATGCAATGCCATATGGCGGCCTTAAATGGGTGAGAAGGAGAGAGTTTCGATGTATTACCAAAGGCCAGGGGGTCGTGGGGAACATGGGCTTACCTGCACGGGCTCTTGGATCATCATGTCTGGTGTGACGGCGACTACCGAAAATCGCTTCGTGCTCTCGGTTCTCCGGTTTCGGTGGCTGGCAGCGACACTAATTCTTTGTTCACAATAATTTAAACATGCAGTGTGTACAAATCGAACAAATTATCATGTCGCCACTCGCATACGGTTCGTCTGGCGAATTTTCCAAACAATATTACAGTGTTACAAGTACGTTGCAAAAAGAAAAAGTGTGCTGTGTGTGATTGGCGTGTGTAACCCGAATGCGGATGCGGGGGCGCGGGGCGCTCCAGGCGGCGGCGTCGTTGGCGATGGCGGTGTCGGCGGCGGCAGCGCTGCACTCGCTACCCTGACCACTCCACTCCACTTCCACTTTTTAATATTGCAATTGGTTTGAGTCGAGCCTTCGCTCAGCTTCGCCTTCTGTACACACACACACTGTGGTCGGGGGGTCGCTTTTCGACACGTCTTTTCGGGGATTTGCTATCGTTAGAGACGCACACGAATCAGATCTGCAAACGGCAACGACTTCGGACTACACCTTGGCCACATTTTAACTATTAATAATTAACTGCATTCGCGGTGCATTCCATTTTAAAAAGCAAAACTAAAATATGTTAGTGGTGTTGAGAGCTGTCAAAGTTTCGATTGCACGCGACCCTGTCTATCGATGACCACAGTGTGACCGTTTGACAAGATGTGGAAAAACCGAGAGCGACATATTGGGAAATTTTATTTAGTGTTTATTTTTAATCAACTTGGACACAACACAAAATATAAATTTTAATTTTTTAATATATTTTTATTATTATTAACGCTTCTGAAGAAATATTTAATCCACAACAATTAGCCATAGTTCCCTGTGAATGGCAATAAAAATGTCAGTTATCGTGTTATCGAACACTGATTAAAAATAAATTCTGAAATTTTTTAAGCATTTAAAAGACACATGTTCTTTAAATTTATGTTAAAAAATATTCATATTTATAATAATTTCTTTGCAATAATGGGAAAATCACGTAATATTTCTCATAAAGAATTTAGCTAGAATTACTCCTTACGAATCGGTTACGCTCTCTTTAAAATGCTTTTTTATTAAATACCAATTTGTCTAGCTTATAAAAGATTTAATTGTAATTCGTGCTCAGGTGAAAGGACATAATGACAATAGAATTTATTCGTTTTTGTGTTTGTTTATTATTTGTTTACACACAGTGTGACCGTAACTGGAAATTCAGAAAACCCAGATTTACGATATACGTCGTTGGTTTCTGACTTTACGTTGTGCGGTGCTGCCATATCGTTTCAAAAAGATTTAAAATTTCAAATTCACGTGAGTGGAAACTTCAAAAAGTTTAATGATCATTTTTTGCACGAAACACTTTTATAATAAATATAAATTAACCACAAAACGTTTTTTGTATTACGTATTATTCATTTGTTTATTTCTCGTGTGTTACAAAGCATTTGCAGTTACAATTTTAGCATAAAACTCTTTCGTTGATTAGCCGGACGAGCGGTAAACCTTTTCAAATATGGCAGATTACAATACTCTCATGTATCCTCTCGTTTCCGTCCCGTTTCTCTCTTGAAACATACAAACTAGCAAGCAACTTGCAGCAGGTACGTTGGAGGGCCTTGTTAATAACCGTTTAGAACTAGTACGTCGTCTTACAATTAGTTAAGATATAAGTTTTTTATACGCTCCTATGGATATTCCGCCAGATAGAGATTCCACTCCGCATTTCCCATAAATAACAAAGGATCAGTAGCGCTGGCTCTCGCGATCCGAGTACTTGCCACTCAGCTTGCTCACTGAATAGCGATCGGAGTAGGCATCGTACTTGTCCGCCTTGTAGTTGATCTCCTGTGGCGTGTATCCGATGTTCTTCTGCCAGTGTCGCGTCCAGTAGAGATCCTCGTTACGCACCTGGGACGGTGTCTTGGCATCCCGGAACACATACACGCAGTAGATCATGCATCCGATCAGAGTGAGGAAGCCGAAGATCAGGAACACAATGCCCAGGATCCACACGTACACTGGCTCATAGAACTGCACCACAATGACGAAGCCCAGCGTGACCAGGATCAGGCCGAGGTTAAGGAGCAGCATCAGACAGCAGACGCCCTTGACGTTCGGGCAGAAGGGATTCGGAGCGGACATCGTCTCGATCTTGGCACCGCGCCTGGTCGTGGAGCGGGCACTGCGCCCCGTCTTGGCTGTGCTGGCCACGGAATAGACACTCCGAGGAGCTCCACGCGACACCGGTCGTTGGCTGTAGCGACTATAAAGGTAAGAGATAAATTAGTATCTTCAAATATTTTCTAGTTAGACCCAATTAAAAAGGGTATACAATTTTAGGCCTCCCGAAGCTAGTTTCCTTTCTTATTTTTTAACAAATTCAGTCTAGAGTCCCAGACTTTTCCGGGATTAATCCCAATCCTAATCCTAATGACTTGCCTGATCTCAGAGGGCGCCTTATAGGCGGCACTGGTCACATAAATGTCGCTGCCGGCATCCCCGGCCTGGTCGTAGCTAAGCGCGGATGGGGCCCGGGGCGGTTGGCGCGTGGGCGGTGGCCCGCTGAGCGAACGGGGACCCCCGTTGTCCGGTGAACTGGAGAGCCCCATCTGACTGTGGCTGTAGCTGCTCTGGAGGTGCTGGTGGTGGCCATTGCCCTTGCCCGCTGAGGAGGAGCGCTTCTTGCGCGATGGATTGTAGTGGTGCGACTGCGGCGAGATGCGCTCGTGGGTCAGCGTGTACTCGGAGTAGGTGCGCTCGGAGGGGGCGCGATGCGAATGGGTCTCGTCGCCATCGGTGGAGTAGCCCCGATTAGAGTGCACGTAGGGCGGATCCGGCGTGAGGCGGCCGTGCGTGGCCACATAATGGCTGCCCTTCAACCTGTAATGGTAATTGGAAGGTAAATGTGTTACCACCGATTGGCTGCTAAGTGGCCGCGATTCCGCTGCTCTCCTTATTCTCGACTCCGTCACTCACTTCTTCACTTGTCTTTCGTGCATGCCGCTGCTGTCCCGTCCCCGTCTGTTGCTTCGGAAATCTCCTTGTGGCGCTCCTCTTCCGCTGATTGACTGCTAATGGACCCGTCTAGCAATTCTCTGCGATGCCTGCAACGGGGTAAATAAAACACATGGGATTAGCTCGTTGGCTTCGTGGCAATTAGCCTCATGTCTTCACTTTATCGGCCAGTTTAGAACTTTTAATTAAAGCGACAAAAGTTTCAGGAAGCATTGTCTAAAGTACAAATCGGGACTGCACCCAAACTGGATGATATAAATGGCTAACTCGTTTTGTATTTTGCAAACTGCAAACGTAAAGTTTTATGGCTCTGTTGTGTTCAGTGTTTTGGCCTCGTAAAAGTTCCATAGTAAAATGTTTATTATTACCAAAACACCATCTGCCACATACATATGAAAAAAAAATGAAAGTTATGAATATTTCGAGTAACAACAACATTTCTCAAATTATAATAGATTTTATAATCATTTTCGGTATGAAATTTTCCTACTAATATTTCCTAGTTCTTTACCAGTAAAGTCTTTCAATCCTTTGCACTTCCAAAAATAATATTTTCAAGGTAAAATAATGTATATGTATATATATTTGTATTAAAAATTGTAATAAACGTTTCTCTTGCCCTATGTTTTCACTCCAAAAGGTTTCCATAACTCAAAGTTAAATATATATATTTTAAAACTCCCATTCCCCTACATTTAACATCATGGCCTTTATTTCTTTCCCGGCCAAGAGTGAATGCAAATTTAAATCGAGGACAAAGAATCATAAATAAGAAACAATTTCGATTAGCTTTTGAATCGGTGGGGGGGTTGGCATTAATGTTGAAAGACCGACTGGCCATTAAGCTGCAATCCCAACAGACTCGGCGTAAACTTCTTGTGCGCCTTGCATAACTTATATCAATTTATGATCCTTCGGCGAGCGGAGGACACACCCAGCCAGCTTAATGATTGCAACTGCAGTTCGTTGCACTTTCCGCCTGTGTCCCGTTAAATTCGCCTGGCACTCTTCTGGTTCGTTCTACCTCCTACCCCCCGCATTCCACCGCAGCCACTCAAAAAGTTGGAGAAATTCCCTCTTTCAAGTTCATGGCAGGGAAATTGAAGTTGTCCGTCCTTCGGCGCCGTTCGCCTGCAATTTGTCACTTGGTCACGTAGCTCTCGGTTCTCGCTGGGTGCGTCACTCCAGCCAAGGTGACAGTTGATAAAGGGAGCGCCCGGCTAAGGGCAAAACTGGTTACACACGCCGCAAACTTAATCTCTGGCCGATGTTTCCCATGAATTTGTTTACGCACCCTGCCAGAGCATAAATCAGCATTTTTTATGACACTCGGAATATGTCAATCAGCAGGTAACATATTTTTACCCTCAAACTATGTTTACTTTTTGAAATTCATTGCTATAATTGGCAGGAATAATATTTGTTTTAGGTCTTGAAAATCATTTGTGAAATTTAAAGAAGGTTTTAGATATAGAAAACGTTTAGAGTCTCTGGGATTTGAAGGGTTAAGCGGCTATATTGCATATAGTAAACTATAATTAACTTCATTCCTTATTTTTTTAAGTGCATCATTAACGCCTTGCTTCTTTTATGACATTTCAATATGCCAATTAAATATTTCCCAAACAAGAACTCTTATCATATTAAAGTGTTTTTGTAATAAAAACCAGTTTCAAAAAGGTTTTCTATAAAGAAAAATAAACCCCATTGATAAGTTTTTTTCCCGACATTCACGTATGTCAATCATAATTGCCTGTAGCAAACTTCTTATCAGTTACTTGTATATTTTTTTCTCCGACAAATGTGTTTATAATTTGCCATCTTCTTTCACAGCATATCATTAACGACTCGCACTGGCAGTGGCTGGCTGATAAAATTGAGTTATTGCCTCGATTAGGCCAATTAAAGGGTGTCGTTATCTAGCCCGTTGGCCTCCTAGGATCGTTCCTCCTGCTCCACACTCCTCCTCCTGCTCCGGCTGCTCCTTTACCCTCGACACAGAGCCGACTTTAAAGTCTGGCGGGCAGCCTTCTTATTATTTCAGCTGAAGCCAATTTCTGAGTGCATTTACATTTGTTCCCTGCCCGGCGGTCAATCGCGATACAATTGTCAGTTGGGATCTGGATCTGTGGATCTGTGTGGGGGTCCAGGCCGCTTCGGACTGCTCTATACCGAAACTTTCAAGTTCAATGCGGTGATTTCAGCGCCTGGGGATCCACACACACACACACAAGCACACACATTTATGGTGTGGGCGGTAAAGTCGTCAAATGAAAAATCGAACAGAGCTGGGGGACTGGGGGAGAGTGGAAACAGAAAGAGAAACAGAAATGGCGACCCTTTCATCTGGTCTTGGGTCTCGGGACTCGGGGTCTCTGTGTGGTCCCAATGGCTCTGGGTTGGATTTGGACCGCTCCTGACCACTTCTATCATTTGGCGGCCATCAAAGCCGAAGCGAGAGTCACAACTCCCATGCGTCGGATTTCCAGTCCGCACATTGATTTGTTTATGCGGTTTTCGGGGTTTGTTTTGTTAGGCCTCTGCTCTGCCGCCTGCCTTAAAGCCTAAAGCCTTTTCCTTTTGCGGCGCTGCCAAATGGAATGCGAATGCCATTAAAATGTGTTTGCTCTCGCATTTACCTTGGCGTGGCCAACAGCGAGAGGCCTTAACATTTAACGCCACATAAACAGCCTTAAGGGGGGGGTAAGGTATTTAATTTTTTTTTTCGTAAATTTTTTTTTATTTTTTATTTTAAAAGTTCAATATCTTAAGAATATTGTGTCCAAGTTTTACATCAATCAAAGTAAAATTGACGAAGTTATGCGGAGTTGAACGAAGGTCGTCTGGTGTTCAATGCATGAGAATCACAAAGTTTAAAGCGCTCTCCTGAAAAATGCCATTTTGAAAATCGGTGTACACGATAACTAAAAATATACTGAACCAATCGGTTTGAAATTTGGAACATAACTTCTTTAGATAATTCTACAGGTATTCTCGTCGAGCTTTTTTTAATTTTTAATTTTCTTATATTTTTTATTTAACAAATTAACTTAATTTTTTAGTCAAAAATCGGGGTTTTGACTTCAAATTTTGATAAAAAATAGGGAAAAAATTTTAAAAATAAAAACGCTTCGAGAATACCTCGGGACACTTATCCTTTAACGAATGAGGTATAATTTTTGTAGATCGGATGATTCTGTGGACAGTTAGGATGTACACCGCAAACCAACTTTTTTGGAGGCGACTCGGGAGATTCCCTATAACTCCTCTACCTCTAAATATTTTTCAATACAAAATTTATCACAAACTGTTCAAATGTTGTGTTATTATATGGTATTTAATTCGTTAAGCTAGCTTTAGCCGTTTCGCCACAACATTTTTTTGAAAAGTGGGCATTTTTGCACCGAATTAACCTTACCCCCCCTTAATAAACCGTGAAAGCCTCGAGAACCCGCTCGAGAGCATCGTTATCTTTGTGCACAAATATTATGCACTATACTTATAAGTCGGTACTATACAAGTACACAGCAAGAAACCATTTAAGTATTATAGTTATTGATATGGAGGGGCATTTTTTATGACTTATACACCATGAAAAAATCATTAAATATTAAAAAAAATATTTTATTTTAAGGTAAATTTATATATTTTACTAAAACTCAATACTATAAGCTTTATTTTCTTTTCAAAAAGATGTTATTTCATTTAAAAAAGAAGACCCTGTATTCAAATCGAATTTATATCCATTTAGTACAAAGATTTCCCGCTGTGTACTGTATGTTTTTCCCCCATCTCGCTCGTAAAGCATTTTAGATGGTCCAGGTTACATGAGATTTGCATTTTGTCATTCGACCGTTAAAGAGGTGGCGCCTTCATCTTCCCATCTCAATCTACGCCGCCGCCTCCGCTTTTATCCATTGTTTTCGATGGATTTCACAACTTTCGCTGCTTCCGGCGGCGCAGCAACAATGGGTTAAGAGCGGAAGTCGTTGCCAGCGAAAACGAGAAGTTAATTCGCCGCAATTTGTGTAACACTCCGAGTGTTTGGGTGTGAGAAGTCGATCGACCACAAAAATGCACTCCACCTCGGTTAACCCAGGTCCACCGTCCACGTTCACTCCCAATCTCAGGCCATTCCGCCTGTGGTCAAGTGTCATACTCATAAAGGTTGAACGAACGACTTGAACTTGGGTAAAGCTATTGCTATGGCCAAAGCTGCTGTGTGGTCAGCAATGCAAATTTCATGGCCAGAGCGGCATATTTTCGGGGCGCGGTTTAGAAAGTTTTTCCCCCAATGTGTACACCAACCAACCACATGGATGTGCCTGGAAAAACTGGGGCAAGGCATTCACTAGAACTGCAGGCCACAGCCAGCCTGCGACCGAATATCTGTAACACTCAACCGCAGTTGGAACGCCTTTCACAAAAATCAAATACTGGGGAAGATCGAAGGAGGCGAAGAAGGAGAAGGTGATGCAGGTGGAGGCCATTACCTGGCCGAAAAAAAAAAAAAACTGCAAGCTGCTGTGCACCAATCTACAATCCCATAAATAGCCCTGCGGCGCCCCCAGAAGTCGCTAGAATAAATAATAACACACTTTACGTTGTCATTCCCAGAAATTTGAGTCTCTTGTGATATGCATGGGGCAGTAAGTGATCTTTTTAATATCCATAAATCAGCCATTGTTTTCGGCCAAGAACCACAAGGAGTTAAGCTGGAATTTAGGAATTTATAACCATGAAAAAACAGAGCTGCTTAGGTCGAGAATAATGAAGTAGAAGTAATATATATTAATGGCCAAAAAAATGCAAAAAATATGTCTACGATAGAATTTAAATAGTTAAATTTTAAAGCTTTGCCTTGAGGCATATAACTTAACATTATTTTTAGTTTTCAACAAGTGTTGAAATATTTACTGCTTTATTTTATTTATTTGTTCTGGTTTTGCTTTAACAAATTGTAAAGACTTTAGAAAATATGTTCCATCTGTAAAATACATAATTTTTAATGTATTTTTCTTTTTATTAAACTAATTTTCCTTGGGATAAATACCCATTTATCTATCATAAAAAGCTTCAACAGCTTCAA